CTCCGGCGAAGAAATTCAAGCGGGGGTCGTGTTTTTTCCGACTGTATATGAATATCCCGGGAATGCTGCTGCCTAGAAAGGCAAATCTCTGCTCTCCAATAGAAGTCCAGACGGAGCAAGATTCCTATATGTCAGGCGAACTCTCAGCCGCGGAACCAAGGGAAGACAGCTTCCCAATGTCTATTCTAATTGGTGAGGAGAAAGATGCTACTGAAAGCTAATGTTGTTACGTCTTTAGACGTATTTCGGCATTTATGGGGACCGTGCCACGTGTGGGCGCGACCAGATTGTCTCATGGGTATCGCTAGGGGAATCGACAGCAGCAACCAACATCGGGCATTCGTAGGGTTCTACCTGCAAAAGAAACTTTCTCTCCCAAATTGGCGGGCCATGTTGAGGGTCGGATCAACAGGGGCCGCATGTCGGACTGATCCAGGCCAGGTGAGTCACACACACACGCACACACACACACACACACACACACACAGGTGTATAGTCGTACAAACAAAAAGAAATGTGTTTTGTGTATGACGCTTAAGCTCTTTTGTTTCTTGCTAATTCCTTGTTGCTTTCATGCTACAAATGTAGAACATACAATGTAAATCCTACTTCTTCAGCTGAATAAAAATGGATCAAATCTTGAAGTACTTTGAGTACATGTTGCTCGTAATACTTTTACTTAAGGAAACATTTTCAACTTGCATGACTTTTCCCAGGGCGGCACGGTGGCGTGGTGGTTAGCACTGTCGCCTCACAGCAAGAAGGTCCTGGGTTCGATTCCGCCCAGTGGCCTTTCTGTGTGGAGTCTGCATGTTCTCCCTGTGTCTGCGTGGGTTCTCTCCGGGTTCTCCGGCTTCCTCCCACAGTCCAGAGACATGCTCTGGGGATCAGGTTAATTGGGGACTTTAAATTGCCCGTAGATGTGTGAGTGTGAGTGTGAATGGTTGTGTGTCTCTGTGTGGCCCTGCGATTGGCTGGCGACCAATCCAGGATGAACCCTGTCTATCGCCCGAAGTTGGCTGGGATGGACTCCAGCCCCCCCGCGACCCTGTGTGCAGGATAAGCGGTCTGACAATGGATGGATGGATGGATGACTTTTCCCTTGTTTGTGTTTGCAGTGATTCTCCCCGGACTGAGTTCTTACTGACCAACTACACTCAACCCAAAGAGCTGCTGTTTGCCATCAAGGAGCTGGTCTACCTGGGAGGAGACACCAACACAGGTAACACACCAACGCAGGTGTTAGAATTGTGGGGACTTTCTTTTTATGTAAAGCACACAGCAGCCTCTGAAGTAGTGTGTGTCCTCACTCGTCTTGTCTCAGGTGGTAGTCACGCACACACACACACACACACACACACACACACACACCCTGCTGTGGTCACACTGATTTATATTGTCTCCTCTTTTAAACTAAAAGTTCTGCCCACCGCTCCCCGTTGCAGGTAAAGCCATCATGCACGCGGTGGAGACCTTCTTCGGCCAGGACAGCGGGGGCAGGCGGGGTCACCCTCGGGTGCTGATGGTGCTGATTGACGGCTGGCCGTCCGACGACCTGGAGCAGGCGGCCATGTTGGCCAGAGAGTCCGGCATCAACGTCTTCCTGGTGTCTGTGGCCAAACCGGCGCCTGAGGAGCTCGCCATGGTGCGAGACAAGGACTTTGTGAAGAAGGTTTATTCATTTATTAAATATTTATGTGAATTTATAAAGTTATGAATCAGTAATTATTTATTTGGATGACCTTCTCCTCTCCCTCAATGAAGACCAATCTTTTTATTTTCCTTTTTTTTTACAAGTGAAATGATTTGAACACACTGGGATTAGTTCAGAATAGAGAGGTTTGTATTTCTATTGTGATGTCTGAAGACGTGAACTCGTTTTACGGCGCTTTTATTGTGAAACTCCTGACACAGAAACAGGGATCTGTTGGACCAATGATCAGGAGGGTTGTCATCTTCTTCAGTTGTTGCTCAGAGGGTCTTTGTCTCTTCAGTTGAACCATCGAGCAGCGTTTAGTTCTCCGTCCACTAAAATGAGAGACTCCTCCTCAATAAACCACACGTTGCGTCCTCCACGTGTCTCTTCTTCCTGCAGGCCGTGTGCAGAGACAACGGCTTCTTCAGCTATCCGATCCCCAGCTGGTTCAGCACCACCAAGCACGTGAAACCTCTGGCTCAGAAGCTCTGCTCGCTGGACCGCCTGCTCTGCAGTGAGAGACCACCCAACCAAGCAGGACAACAGGAAGACACACACACATCTACACAAATACATCGACACACACGCAAACACATCTACACACAAACACACACACACACGGTACCAACACATTAATCCTGTTTTGTTTCCATCAGCTGCCACCTTCTTCCCAGATGTTCTGACTCGAGGGGTCTTCTCGGCCATTTTCCGGTTGATAACTAAACTGTTGTGATGAATCCAGCAGAAGGAACATCTGGTCGTGGAGATCAGGAGGTCACATCCTGTTCATGGTGGTAAAAACCATGTTGGACTTTTTGTTTCTCAGGTAAAACCTGCTACAACTCGGTGAACATCGGGTTCCTCGTCGACGGTTCTTCCAGCGTCGGGGGGGGCAACTTCCAGCTGGTCCTGGACTTCCTGGCGGCTGTGGCCAGCAGCTTTGAGGTGTCGGACGTGGGCGCTCGCATCGGTCAGCTTTGCTTGTGAAACCCCTCCGACGCGCCGAGGCGTCGATTGGCCGACTGACTGTGTGTCGGCTCTGCAGGTGCGGTGCAGTTCACCTACGATCAGAGGCTGGAGTTCGGCCTGTTTGACCACCCCAACAAAGAGGACTCCATCACCGCCCTGAGGAGGATCCCCTACATGAGCGGAGGAACGGCCACTGGAGCCGCCATCAGCTACACCACCCAGACCCTGTTCAGGTGAACACGTCTAAGGGTGTGTCGCAATGAGGGGATCTTCTGGCAGATATGGAGAATGTTCTACTTAGTTTAGAATGAATCACAGTAGCCCGCCATGTTTCTGCAGAAGAAGAACAAATGAAACCCGTGTCTAACGAGAGAGGAAGGAAAGTGGCTCTGGTGTTTAAGTCACCTGGTTACCTGGTTAAGGTGACTTCTTAAGGAAGCAAGTGAAACAATGGATGCCTTCTGTTTAAGTATCTCCAGTGTGTTTGGCGCTGAGGTGCACAGGCATCACATTAAACATGTCGATGCGTGTCACAGGCGAGGCCTCGGGCTCCTGCTGAGGCGTCTCTTGTGAGGCTGACATGTGATCGTCTCTCCTCCAGGCGGGCGGGACCAGGACGGAACTTCCTCATCGTGGTGACGGACGGCCAATCGTATGACGACGTCAGACTCCCCGCGGCGGCGGCACAGACACAAGGTGCGTGTTGAAGGGAAGGACAGTCGACAGCGGCGCGTGTTCACTTCTCACACACACGTTTCACCCTGCACCAATCGACAGGCATCACCATCTACTCGGTGGGCGTGGCCTGGGCGCCCCTGGACGACCTCAGAGCGATGTCATCAGAGCCAAAGGAAAGCCACACCTTCTTCAGCCGGGAGTTCACCGGCCTCGCCGAGCTGGTCCCTCCGCTGGTCAGAGGGGTGTGCAAGGACTTCACAGAGAACAACTAGCAACACACACAACAAAGAAGGATACATATATAAACCAAATGTGTATATACATGTATATAAAATGTACATATATATGTAGAATTATACTTCATTCATAAATATATAACCAAGGAGATTATTATCAACGTAGAAACCAAAATCTTTCACTTTTCAATAAATATTCCAGCGTTTGATTCTGTGATCAAATGTATTTTACAAAATAAAAGTACAACAAAGAAACTACCAGAAATATTCAAATTTGTATTTTCTGGATTTGTATCTGGATTCAAAAACTTTGCTGACATGATTTTGTTCATTTGAACCAGCTAACTTAAAAAGAGCCACAATCAGCGCTGATGTTTTACTGCAGGTTCAAAGGGTCAGAGTTAATGTATTTAACATGTTGGACCTTATAATAAACTGCAAATTAAACAGAAACACATTGGATACTGTAATTATGGCTTTAATATCTTTATTAGAAGAGAACCGTTCTTCTTATCAGATCGTATTGTGTTCATGCAACAGATTTCTCCTTCCATCTATTCTGGAATCATGACATATTTTCTTGTATTATTTTGGAATTGTGAGATCTTTAGCTTGTATTTAGGAAGAACCCTCTAAGGCACGTTTGAAGAAAACATGTAGGTATTTATCTGGCTTCGTCAAATAAAAACACTAGAATGAACAATCGGACGGAAATGAGCTGCTTGGATTTAATAAAAACAACTGTTTGTGCATTATATTCAAATGTGTTTATTCACACACTAGATTACAGTGATTTGATCAGCTTGTTTTTTGTATGTTGGAAAAGATGAGACGAGACTATTTGATTTTGAAAAGTTAGTTACATTTCCATAGAAATCAACCGGATGGAAGTGAACAGAACATCTTATGGTTGATGTCGTTAAAATGACCCTGTTCCTCATTTAAAAAAATGGGATTAACTCAACAATTTGATTCATGAAGTCAAAATGTTGATATTTCTGCATATTGATTCATCAAGATATTTTGATCATTTCTAAACTTCCCTTTATATTATTTGTATTTTCTTGCAGAAATGAGTCGGGTGGGTGTACCTCCACTCTGTTGCTCCTTGATCAGTTGACCTTTGACCCTTGAGTAAGTCTTTTCCAGTAACGCCAGTAGAGTGAGTACAATGTATGACCAGGGGGTTCCAGGAGGGGGCGCTAGAGATGATGATGATCTTTAACTTGTGTCACATGTCTCTGTAAAAGGTCCATCAGAAAGCTGCAGCTGATCCAGAACCTGCAGCTCGAGTCCTCATCGGACCGGGAAGTGGATCACATGACTGATCACATGACACATGACGCACTGGCTGAATGTTTAGGGCCAAAGATCTGATACCTGACGAACGCTCAGGTCGCCTTGGACGCGTCTACTTCCTGTCTCAGGGTCAGAACGCGTAACGCCAACGCGTTGGTGAATAGGGACTGAAAAGGGACCTGAAAAGGGACTGAACTAAACTATTAATCTCTACAGGTCTCATAATTGAGATTCACTCATTAAGAGCAAGGAAATGTTTGCAGCAAGCGTCACCGTCCACACGGAGAAATGATCCTTAGTACAACAACAACCTGCTGGTGTCATTAAGACACGTAATGACGTCATAACTTCACCTCGGTGGGGGCTCGTCGGGGTGCAGCGGTGCAGAGGCTGCTCCATGTCCCATGTTGAAGTGTCCCTGAGCAAGACCCCCGACCTCCGACCCCTAACGGCTCCCTGGGCCAAGATATGAAAAGCTACGGGTTAGAAATGTGAAGTAAGACGCTTTGGATGAAATGATCTGTAATGTCTTCTAGTGACCCGCGTCCTGCTGGGATCTGCTCCTAAACTTTAATATCTTCATGATTTTAGTTTGTTTGTTTTCCCTCTTGAGACTTTTATCATTAAGAATTGATTGTTTTCAATTGTTTTCGGGGATCAAGGAATTTTAAATCAATACGTTGTCATTATTGATTTGACCTGCTGTTTTTATCTGATGAGAAATCTATTCCGCTATATTCTGTAATCCACCCATTCATATTTCGTATGAATGAACTGAACATCCAGCAGGGGGCGCAACAGCACCGCGACACGTGACGACGATGACGACGATGATGATGATGATGATGATGATGATGATGACGATGACCTGAAGCCACAATACGCGTGTTTATTTAAGGAAGCAAACCTGTTTAAAGAGAAAGAGATTTCACGCGGTCATGAGTGACGTCATTGAGTGATTACATGATGGTCCTTAGGATCAATAATAACTTCATAAACAGACGCGTGCGCGCGTGCGTGCGTCAGGCCCCGCCCCCGGAGGGGAGAAGGGCGGTGCCCTCCCCCCAACCAGGTAGGAGCACCAGCGGTGGGCACGTCACCCAGCAGCGCGCGCACAGAGGGGCAGCGCGCAGAGCAGCGGAGACTAACACGCGCACACGCGCACGCGCGCACTCTTTCCACCGCCTCATCGGTCCCGAGCAGCAGCGACGGAGCCGAAAACAGCCGGAAGTTCCATCTGGACACATCGAAACAGGGAAGTTGGAGACGGGGGAGAGACGGAGAGAGGGAGGGACAGACCGGCACAGAGGACCATGTTCAGCTGGGTGAAGCAGGAGCAGGGAGGACGCAACAAGGACGGAGAGATGTACCAGACGGTGACGGAGGGCCTGCAGAGCCTCTACCTGAAGAAGCTGCTGCCGCTGGAGGAGACCTACCTGTTCCACGACTTCCACTCGCCCGCCCTGGAGGCCGCCGACTTCCAGAGCAAGCCCATGGTGCTGCTGGTGGGCCAGTACTCCACCGGGAAGACCACCTTCATCAGGTGAGGGACGGGGACACACGGGGTTCCTTTAGAGCCGATGTAGAGATGGACGTAGTGTGTGTCTCTAGAGTCCACAGAGCGACTCAGACTGACACCGGTCTTAAAAGGACACTGTGCTAGCGCGGTGTGGCGTTGTCCCCCCTCAGAGCGTCCACTGTCTCCTCTGGGGGTCCACGGTCTCGCATTGTCCCCCCTTAGAGCGTCCACTGTCTCCTCTGGGGGTCCACGGTCTCGCATTGTCCCCCCTTAGAGCGTCCATCTGTCTCTTTCTGGTGGTCCACGGTCTCGCATTGTCCCCCCTTAGAGCGTCCACTGTCTCCTCTGGGGGTCCACGGTCTCACATTGTCCCCCCTTAGAGCGTCCACTGTCTCCTCTGGGGGTCCACGGTCTCACATTGTCCCCCCTTAGAGCGTCCACTGTCTCCTCTGGGGGTCCACGGTCTCGCTTTGTCCCCCCTTAGAGCGTCCACTGTCTCCTCTGGGGGTCCACGGTCTCACATTGTCCCCCCTTAGAGCGTCCACTGTCTCCTCTGGGGGTCCACGGTCTCACATTGTCCCCCCTTACAGCGTCCACTGTCTCCTCTAGGGGTCCACGGTCTCCTCTCCTCTGCGGGTCCACTGTCTCGCATTGTCCCCCCTTAGAGAGTCCACTGTCTTCTCTGGGGGTCCACAGTCTCGCATTGTCCCCCCTTAGAAGGTCCACTGTCTCCTCTGGGGGTCCACAGTCTCCTCTCCTCTGGGGGTATAGAGTCTAGCATTGTGCGCCGGTATACAGTCCCCTGTCTCCTCTCGGGGTACACGGTCTCGCGTTGTCCCCCGGTATACAGGCCCTCGTCTCCTCTGGGGAGTACAAAGTCTCGCATTGTCCCCCCTTAGAGCGTCCACTGTCTCCTCTGGGGGTCCACGGTCTCGCATTGTCCCCCCTTAGAGCGTCCACTGTCTCCTCTGGGGGTCCACGGTCTCGCATTGTCCCCCCTTAGAGCGTCCACTGTCTCCTCTGGGGGTCCACGGTCTCGCATTGTCCCCCCTTAGAGCGTCCACTGTCTCCTCTGGGGGTCCACGGTCTCACATTGTCCCCCCTCACACTGACACGTGAGCTGTGGTTTAAAAAAACTGCTTTATTGTGAAAGGTCGAGCAGCCGCTGAGGATCATGGGAACTGTAGTGCTGCTGAGGTGGGGGATTGTCCCTTGTCTTCCTGAACCTGCTGTTGTGTGATGAAGACGGGACGGGACCACATGGACCAGGAGGACAGTTTCCTCATTGACAGTAAAAACTGTTACTGTGTCCATTTAGCTGCACGGTTCACTCGTGACTGTTAATCCGCCGCCTGGAGGCCGGTACGTGGTCACGGGTTACAGAGCTGATCAACGCATGCAGACCCCCGGTAACACACACACACACACACACACACACACACACACACACACAGAGACACACACACACGGGGGCGGTAATGTGTGTGTGGCGATGAAGCGTCCTAACGAGGTACGATGAAGTAGCGTCAGACCCCCCAGGGACCCGGGACCTGCCCGGCCCCTGTGGACGTCGGTCCAAACACGGTTCCGCTTCTTCAGAACAAAAATACACAAAGAACTGAGCTTTACGGAAGAAGTGAAGGAACCAAAGAAGTAAATCCGTGTTTCCTGTGGGACATTTAAATGAACACCGTGATGACGTCACAGCCGCCTGTAACGCTGATGACGCGTCAGAAAGCTTCTTCCAGCCACGTTCAACAGACTCCCATCGCCTGACAGGGAGCTCTGGTTATCAGAGTGTCCTTGAACGCAGCAGCAGCAGGACGACCACATGAGAGGCGTTTAAAGGTTCATTCAAATGCACCATGTGACTCTACGGAGTTACATCTCCCAGAGCACAGAGGGGTGTGTGTGTGTGTGTGTGTGTGTGTGTGTGTGTGTGTGTGTGTGTGTGTGTTCCCGAGGCCCCACCCTATCCCCAGAAATGCTATGAATCATGGGAACTAAAACAAATGCTATGAATCATGGGGAGAAGTTGGCAGTAAATTGCACAGTGACGTATTTGGGTGCATTGGAAGCAGCGCGGCCTCTGATTGGTCCACAGTTAATCCGTCTAAGCGTTGCGCTTTCTGTCCGTGTGTGCGTCAGATTGAAGCTTTGTCAATAAAGTTGTCGGTCCGTGGTCTTTGCATACACACGAGGAGGAAAAGGGTTTGTTTCCCTTTTCCTCTTATCTACCCGTCAAAATAAAAGCAGCAGGTGCCCGACCTGCAACCACCGGGGTCACGTGACCTTCTGGGTTTAGTCGAGCTATCGCTAATGCTAACAAGATTCTTTCTTTCTGAGAATATAAATTGCAGGATACATAAAAGTTGGATTATTATATGCGTATGAATGTTGTCTTTATTAATACAAACTATGTATAAATGTAATAAACGGTGTGTGTATTATAAAATATGAAATACTCCATGAGGGACTGAGCAGCTTTTGAGCAGAAATTTCAACAAATTTCTTGTGTCTTTTTAGAAGAACATCACTATTTATTATTATAAATAATAATCTTCTTTGACTCTGTGATACCTGGGAACTAACCCCCCCCCCGCGCCCCCCCACAGGTACCTGTTGGAGCAGGACTTCCCGGGGATGCGGATCGGTCCGGAGCCGACCACCGACGGCTTCATCGCCGTGATGTACGGCGAGAACGAGGGCATCGTCCCCGGCAACGCCCTGGTGGTCGACCCCAAGAAGCCCTTCAGGAAGCTCAACGCGTTTGGAAACTCCTTCCTCAACAGGTAAGAACATGCAAGGACACGCAAGGACACGCAAGGACACCCAAGGACACCCAAGGACACCCAAGGACACCCAAGGACACCCAAGGACACGCAAGGACACGCAAGGACACATCTCTGATGGACAACATGTGGAGACTCGTACCTCATACTCATAAAGTACCTTTAATCAAACCCTATAAAGTATCACACGTGTTACAATAACACAGAATAGTGTGTGAACATTAGAGCATTTACACACACACACACACACACACACACACACACACACACACACCCTGGCAGCTCCTCTCACTGCTTTCACCCACGACCAGTAAAGTGACCTCTCCTCCTGATTGATATGTAAACACACACACACACACACACACACACACACACACACGCTGTGAGTTGGGAGCGAGGGTTTAAATTTAGCTGGAACACTTCTAAAACTATTTCCTCTGTCCTGAAATATTTTTAAGAGTGGCAGCAGGACGTGGAGACAGCAACCCTCTGTGTGTGTGTGTGTGTGTGTGTGTGTGTGTGTGTGTGTGTGTGTGTTCAAGGGTTTCCTTTAACCAGGAATCCCGCCCGTCCCGCTGTGAGGGAGGAACCACAGTGACTTATTGTTTCCAGGGGGGACGTGTGTCACACGTGCTCCACGCTTTGTTTTTTCATGTCAGGACGACATTGGTCACACACACAGGAAACGCTCTATATACATGTTATATATATATATATATATATATATATATATATATATATATATATATATATAATATATATACAATTTAAATGTATACATATAGTCCTGCTCTATATACATGTGTAATCACGCGTTGCACTAACACA